AGTTTACTTTTCTTTGATCCCACATCAGGATTCTTTGGCTTGCAAAGAACAAGAGTTTATGATGTTGTATAGATGCATAGACAGATTATTCCTTTGTTAGTATATCATTCTGATCCTACTTGCGACTTAATACCGTTTACTAAAAGGTTTTCTCAGTGTAAGTCAATGTTACAATATGTTGTATGTAATTAGTCCCACTGCATTTTTCTTCAAACACATTTTAAGTAAAGAGTCTTGAGAAAAGAGTTCTTAAAAGCCAGAGAATGTAGTTAGTTTTTTGTCTAGCACACAAATTCTGTCTAGCACAGGTGGAAGGAAATAGGAAAAAGGCCCACTTCTGGATTCTCTGAGTTTTCACCAAATTATGCCCTGCAGTGGCCTTGATAAGAGTTAAGGAAGCTGGACTTTCTTTCCTCACAATGAAGTGTGAGTATTGTATAAAGCATCTTTTAATGCTCACTTTTACTACTATGTTCAGTTTTTAAAGAAAATATAAACTATTTTCCCTGGTTCAGACGTAACTTCCTATATGTTTAAATTTGCAGTGGTGAAATTATGAGGCAGTAATAGAAGATGACAATTTGTAATGTCAGACTAGGCAGGCACTCTGGGGAACAAGTAGGAATAGATATGTAAAAGCACATTAAAATGAGATGTTTAAATTCTACCTAGAAAATGGAAGATACAAGGAGACTTTAATAACTGGTCTGCATGACTACATATGCCAGTGATAAGGATAATATAATGAGTGCAAGTGAAAGGAAGGTGAGAATATTCATCTCAATACTCACTATGAGCTTCAAAAGCGCTTGAAAGCAGCGATGGGTACTTTGAAAGCCTAGCATATCTGAATACATAATTCCTCACCTTTCTGTGAATCTGGAAGAAACGCCGTAGGTTAGCCTGCTCTTCACAAGACATACTTTAGCTGCTAAAGCCAGCCAAAATCTTAGAATCAGGTGATAATCTTTTGGGTCAGAGGAGTTCTTATTAAGAAAAGTTCTGTCAACAATGTGCTTTGTCATATTTTTAAAGAGAATTTTGATGCTAATAAACTGTAAAGAGGTAGAACAATTAGCTATCTTGAACACAGAACTGCCAGGTGTAGTTGATAGGTCCTACAGTGCAGAATTCATTCAGTTCTGGATATGAAGAGAACAGCTGTTACCTCTAAGGCAGCCTTTCCTAACTGATGTTCTCCAGATTTGTGGAGCTACTATTCTAAGAACCTCCCAGTCATCAGCATGGCCAAAAGTCCTAATTTGGAGGAAGGCTGCTCTAGATGATCAATGATGCCATCAAAATAAGACAAAACTTTTATATCCTTTATTTAAACCTTTACATTTAGCCATCATCTTAACTTGAGCATAACGTGCAAATTTTTCACTAAACTTGCAACTTCATTTAAATTATATCAGATTCTAAATGCTGTGACAATTATTTATTCCCCCAAGAAGTATAAATTGCAAGTTAGATATAATAATTCACTATATGACCTGCTTCTGGTACTTTGCTTTTTCATAATAGTTTGATGCTACAACCTAGAAGAATTATTTAGCAACAAAGCACAATAGTAATGCTGCTTCCTCCTGTTTACTTAGGTACCTGAAAAATTTAAGTAGGAAGTATTTTGTCAGATTCCTAAGTTTACAAATCAGATTTGGCAGTTGTTAGTTGAAGCTTATTGGAAATAATAACTCTGAAATATAATTTTTTCTCTCCAAACTTTCTACATTTTTAAAGAATCCAATTCTTCCATTGTTAATTGCCCTGTTTATTTTTAACTACACAGCTGAATTTTTTTTTATTAAGCAGAATGAGAATTTTTCCATCCTAAATAAAAGGTAAAAAGGTTTTGTAATTAGGAGGAAAAAAACTAGGCTGGTTGTTGGAAAATATTTGTGATATAAATATGTCAATATTCTGGTTTTAAGCTGGCAATGTTTTATCAATCATAATCATTCCTAAAATACTGTGTCTTGGGTCAAGCATTGTATGGGTAGAAAAAAGTATTTTATTGTAATTAAGATTGTAAAGAATGTAATTTGTCTGTTAAAGTCAGAGAAAAGAGAATGTTTCTTTTTATGAATGCTAGTGTCTAGATAATGTTTTTGGTCTTGGAAGCCTTGCACATCAAATCCCAGTCTCCATGAAACATCAATACAATTTTTAGTCTACAGAACTATGAGTCATTATTGTAAGAGACTTCTCACCATCAAGCTGTGAAAATATCTAACAAACTCTGGCAAGAGATTGACATAGTCTGGGCTATGCACAACGACATCTGCTCAATAAAAGTTCTCAGCAAGGTGTTGAAATGAACTTTCCACCTCACCACAGAGTGAACTTGTGCTGCGGAAGCTACCATCAGCCCATTGTTTAGAGACTTAACACCATGGATGAAAGCAACGGTCCTCACATCTTCCTCTCTATTGATCATCTGGAGCTCAGGTACCTCATTGCTCCTGAAAAGCCCTGGTCAATCCCCTTGTCCATGGACTACAGTATCAGGGGTCCTTTCTTTCCTCTTTGGAAGCTGCAAAGAGCTAGGTTTGAACTTTCCTGGTCAATACTGGAAAAGGGAATGCTATTTATTTTTATATTGTTTATATTTTCTCTTGGCCTACTGATTCCCTGGCAGTGACAGTTACCTCAATAGTTAGTTTAATGATGTGTGTTTGGATAATTTTTAAAGGTTCCTTTTTTAAAAAAAGAGTTTTGGTCTTTAGAGATCTGTAGATTTTATTTCCATAAGAATGTGTTATTTTGTATAAAATATGTTCTTAAAATAATATTTGTCTGTGTGTATCTGAGAGAGTGTGTGGGGAATGGGGATGAGGATCTCTAGGTTCATTAAAAGATAGCTTTATGTAAATCAGAACAATAGTTTGTCTCGCCTTTATCTCTAGAGACTGGCACTGTCCCTAGATTTTCAATCAGTAGCCTTTCCAATCGTCTGTTACTTTAGATCATTTTGCCTGAAGAGACAATTAAATCTGGGATTTTTTTAAAATAGAAAGCTATGTCACGTAACATTGAGCTACCAGATTTGTAATATTGGGAAATTTTATTTGGCCAGTTGAGTGATAAAATCTTGCTATAAGATACTTGTCCTACCACATGTAGAAAGTATGGTGTTAATAATTTTAGAGTAAATTGGAAATTTCTTAACATTGTTAATCAATGTTACTCAGTGTAGGGAATTGCAAGATAGCACTGGCTCTGTTTTCTACAATTGATGAAGGCATTCTTGTCATTAGACATAGCTCATTAGAACTATTTTTGATTTAGGGAATTTTTAGTTTTGCCCTTTCCAGGAGATAAAATAGTACAAATCACTGAAGCCAGAATAGCAAAGCTGACCCAGCCTATACACAGTCTTAGTTTCAATTAGGATTTTGGTTGTCCTTCAAAATATATTATTTAAGTGATTATGGCAAGCTGTTTATAAAATGCCATATGAAAAATCTTTAATTCCAGCAGATCTGCATGATGAATAGATAATTATATCATTTTGTAAAGAAAAAGAAAGTGCTTTGAGTTTGAAATTCCCTGCAGAATAAAGAAAAGGAGAGGGACATTTTGAGAGAAAAATCACCACAACAGGAATTCGAGATTGCATCTGAGAAACTAATCCTAAACATGAGGTATTTTTTTTACTCTGGAGAAACAGCACCCACCATCCATTCAGGAAGACTTAATGAGGAAGTAACAGGAGTGGTGATTGTTTAAAAAGCCAGAACTGTAGCATGTTTATCCACTGCATAAAGTAATCAAAGAGATCTGTAATATTCATCTGCCTTGGCAAAGTTGCCTGTGGCAGTGATTCCTTTCCTGTTGGGTGGAGCAGCCTCTGCCCCCCCCCTTTCTTCAGCAGCCCAGCCAACAAATCACGTGCTGTCTCTTTTTCCCTCCCCATTGTAAAGCCCACGCATCTAGGGACTGTAAAAAGTTTGTAATCCTTTTTGCCAGTGCAAAAATTCTGGGCCTGCCTGGCACATTAATAGGAGCAGTCCATAGTTCTTCATTAGCGTAGAACAGGCTGCGTGGTGTGTGAGCAGTCACTAGTTCCCCCAAAGGCTTCAAAAGAAGCCTTGCCAATGAATGTATTTCCCATGCACTGATATTAATACAAGCTGCTGTTAAAAGGCATCTTCTTTGTGGCTCTAAGAAATCGCTGAGATTCACTCTGGATCTGTTCTTGCTGAAGATCACTGACCGAAGTGGAATCCTGACTATAACTGGCCTGGTCTCCTATCTATGCAATCAGTACAAAAAGGTTTTACTGTGAATTTTCTTTGCACCCACACAGCAGCTGACAACAATGAGAAACTTCTGCATTGGCTTTTCCAGCCAGGTATGTTATGCGGAAATGTTCGCTATGGCAGTTATCTCCATTCCATCAGATGCTTCCTATTACTAGTTAAGATCAAAACACTTGCCAAACTTTCATCCCTGTGTCCAATTAATATCAGGCCTATGATTAATAGGACATGAGAGGAAACAATTAGCTTTAAAACAGGGGTGGACAATTGTTTGGTACTTGAAGGCTATATTTTTTAGGGAGCGGGGAAAATTACTTTGAGGGTATTCATGTTATGTTATTGGTGTCACAAGTTTTAGCTTTTTTCCATATTACTTGGGTTTTTTTACACTTTTTTCAAACAGATTACTTACACTGCTATTTTCATATATTTCCTATATAACTGCAGGTACTTGTCTAGGCAGTCTCTGAGAATCAATCTATGGAAGGGGGGGGGAAGCACAATTTTAAACAACATATGTATACATATGTGACCAACATTATGGAAGGAAAATTTGAGAACCCTCCCTTAGGTTCCAAGTCCTGGATTAGCAGCTAGCTTTAACATTTGGACTTCACCAGAAAACTGATTAAAATTCACCCTGTATTATTTTGGACAGCTGGAGATTATGTCTCAATTGTCAGATGAGGGTCACATTTATGCTGACACCTTCAGTTTGTTGATCTTAACATTCTAATTTTGTAAATAATTGTTATGACTTAATTTCAAAAAGTTTGTTATTTCCTCACCCTCATTTTTATTTTTTTAAAAAAAAACATCTACAATACATACACTAAAATACAGAAGGAAAAACCTTAGTTACATCTGTGTATAACTAAATGAAATCTGTTTAGATGGGCATGCTTTTAGTTGCCCCAGTAAATAAAACTAAACTATTTGTATGCTATTTATTCTATGTAGATTACTAGATTTTTCATTTAAAACATTTTGTCAAGATATCCATTTGCTTCTTTTGCTTCCAAAGTCATTTTTGAAGATAAAACTTTTTCCAGTTTCTACCCCATATTATTTTAATGGCAGTAAATTGATAAACAACGTTTTGCAGCCCTTATGGATATAGCAAAACTTAATACAAAATTAAGTTGACATGGATTTTTTTTTAGAAAATTGATTTCTGTGTTTATCAGAAGGCAAATAATTTCAAATACAAATATCCAAAAAAAGCAACATACCAGAATCCATCTTACCTCATTTAAACATTATTGATTAAAGTTATAACTATTCCTTTACACCAGGGGTCCCCAATCTTTCTAGATTGGCGGCCCGTTGGGAAAGGGAGGGGCAGGCACCTTTATGTGTACATGTGTACATGCTAATATGGCTGCTCATGCGCACAAAAGTGGCCATGAACATATGCACTCCACAAATGGGGCTGCTAGTGCTGGTGCAAGGCTCACAGCTTGGCTAGTGCTGGCGCAAAGGAGGGTGAGTATGTGCACATGCACGCACGTACTGTCCAGCCACTCACGTGGTCCGGTGGCCAAGAGGCCATGGCCTGGTAGTGGGCTGCAGCCCATAGGTTGGGGACCTCTGTTTTACACAATGGCCTTTGAGCAACATAATCTATTCAAGAAAGACAAAATTACTTGAGAAATTTCTAAAGGTGAACTGAAATGTATTTGAAAGCAGTAAGATTGTGTATCAGTTTCAAAAGTGTTTTAGAGGTTAATCTACTTTGGACTTGAAACTTTGCAGGCTGAGGAGGAAGTGGCTAAAACATGCCCTTGGATAACCTTATACTTACAACATCCCATTTCAATGCTTTTTTAAATTAAATAAATTTAGACAATTAAAACTGGTAGTAATCCCAAAACACTTTTAAAATGAAATATTTCAGTTATGTAATAACAAGGTGTAGTAAATAATAAAAAGAATGTATTTAGCTTTTTGGAAGACTGTATGAATTGATTTTGAGAAGAGATCCTGCTTGATGGGGGAGAGGCAGGTTAGGATACTCGTAGCACAAAACATTTTGGATACATCATGCCCAAATGTACCATATAATTAAAACCTGTATTCTATGCAGACAGTCTGATGCAGTGGCTGGTATCTTCTCTGCCTTTAAATATTGTTATATTTCTTAAATGCTGCTAAAATTGTAATGCATTGTTATTCTCATTGCTGATGGAGAGCCAGGTTTGGAAGCACTGACTTTCTAAGCCCATCAGGAGATGAAGACAGTGATTGTATATTACAAGTTTCTTTTTCACCTTTTTCATATTTCTAAGGCTGCTCAACCCCTTGGCTTTCGATGATATGTCAGATAAAAACAAGTATATCAAACAACAACAGCAGAAAAAGAAAGTCATTCTTGTGGAGTAAACAGCCACTAAAAAACTGTAACATCCCACTCTAGCTCAGAGCCTGGAGAAAAAGCTTGGTTTCTAAAAGCATAGCTAAATGACTAAGGACTATTCATTTAAGTATGCCTTAAAGTCACTAAAGAGTAAAGACTATGACAGCAAAGGCACATCTCCTTGTTCCCATCAGATGACATTGCAAAATTTTGTCCAATCTTACTGAATGAGTAGAAATGAGAGAGAGAGAGAGAGAGAGACTGTCCCTCAAATAGTTAAACTGTATGCCTCATAGGTGACAACCAGCACAACTTGATTTGTGTCTGGAAGCCTATTGGTAACTAGTACAACTTGCAGTGGAATGCCACATTGTGGACTAGCTATTTCTGAGTTGTCTTCAAGGTTAGGCCCATTGCACTTGCCCACATACAGGATGTGGCATGAGCCACCATGTAAGGAACCTCCTCGTCCAGAAATGAGCTTAATGAATCTTACGTAAATGTCTTATTGGCCATAGATGTTTCTTGGCTGTACTTACCCACTAATTTTCCACTGATGTGTAATTGATATGGGGATGTGCAGCCCATCACATGATACCACATTAATGGAATATACTGTTATCAATCGATACAACCTTGCTTGAGAAATTAGAGCTTGACTAAATAACTGGAATGCATAGCGTTTGTTTAAAATTGTCCTTATCCAATGGAAAACGCTTGAGCTGGAGTTTGTTAGTTTTGCAGGACCTAAAAAAGACAAGATGAACAACCAGAAAGAAAAAAAAAATCCTATGTACATTCTGATATTATTGGGAATTTGTGGACAGTCCCTTAAAACAGGCAAAAGAGGTTGTTTTTTAAGGATTCCAGATGTGAGTCAGATGCTTAAAAACGAGAGAGGAGGAAGGGAGGAACCCAACTGCTTGAAAATAAGGAAGGTAAGTTTACTAACTTTTCTGACTTCTACACATTTCATTCATAAAGTATTTCAACATTTATCATTTCAAAAGCAATCTACAAATTCATGGCATTCTTTGTGCAAATGAATTTGGAGGAGAATGATCTACCCAAACTGGTGAGATTGCTAATTAGTATATGTGGAAAGGGAGAGTCAATTTATTCAGGAAAATTAGATATGAATTAGAAGGAGATAGTTTATAGCCATTTATTTCTAACACTCTTACAAGAATAGTTATTTCCAAAGCCTCGTGTGTAGTTTCTAAACATTTGTGCCTGGTGTGTATTATGTGCATAATTAAAACTTGCATTTGTGCTCTATAAAGCAGGGCTTTTTAACCTTTTCACCCATTGTACCAGTTTTAGGATATGGCAATATCCGAGCACCACCAGTCACCTAGCAAGTTGTCAAAAACTTGATGACAAAAAAAGGGAAAAAAGTAATAAAGTACAGGTAGTCCTCGATTTACAACAGTTCGCTTAGTGACTGTTCGAAGTGACAATGGCACTGTAAAAAGTGCCCCCCAGGCCACAGCTGAGCAAGACGCCTGGCTGCCCTGCGGCACTCTTCCTCCTGTCTGAGGTTTTCATTGTTGTAAACATTTCTGTTGAGGATTGGCAGCGGGGTGGGGTGGGGGGTGTTTTGTTTTTATTCCCCCCATCTGCTGGGTGATTGCAACAGGTTTTGGTCACTTCACATGACCCTGAGACACTGTGACCGTCATAAATATGAATCAGTTGCCAAGCATCTGAATGTAAATCACAAGACCCTGGAGATGCTGCAACATTCCAGCTGATTGGCGCTTCTGGGCTCAGCAGAAGTGCAGGATCAGTGCTGCTTTCCAGCTGATTGGTGCTTCTTCAGGGCTCAGCCGAAGCACCAAGATCAGCGCCGAGCTCAAGCTGGAGCCTGGCGCTGATCCTGGCGCTTCGGCTGAGCCCTGACAGCCCTGCAGTTTCAACCATCTCTCGCTCAGGCTTGTGCAGTGCTGCCACCAGTTCAGCTCATTCCCCTCCCCCGATACCACTTTTCTAGGATGGTCACATACCACCTGCCAGGTGCCAATGTACCACAGGTGGTACCCGTACCACTGGTTGAAAAGCCCTGCTATAAAGCACTGTATGGACACATTTGCACTAATGATTGTAATTATTTCACCAAACAAATGCTGAAACTGTTTTATTTTGAAGTATTCTATAGATGAGGAAATGCATGTGAATAAGTGACAAGCAGTTAATAATTACAGCTTCCAGAAAGTTAGGATGCTTTTATATCTGATTAGTGCAGCGGATACTTAATTTATGGTTTTTAACATTTGAATAAGTTTTTTTATGGTAGAGGAAAAAGGATGTGGATTTGAGAAATCAGGTCAATTTCTCAGGAATGGTTTATGATATTTCTATTTTTTAAAGTTTATATTCCAGATGTACTTTTGATGTTGTTTAATTGAGTAGCTATATTTTAGTATTTTTTGTAGCTTTGACATTAACCACTCAAAATACGTAAAGATTGTTTGCCACAACTAATGTATATGAGGCCTGGCTATATATTTTTTTGCACCGTTACATAGAGATAGACTGCTCTGAAAGTTTAAAACTTCAATAATGCATCATGCAAACTCACTTTTTCAGTGCTAGTACTGTAGTTTCCAAGCTTATATAAAATGCTTACATAAGAATTATGACTAATCGTAAAACTATTGGTGACATCTTTTCTGCCATATGATTCATTGTGTATGTTGTACTGTGCACTTTGCATGGCTACTGGAAAAAATATATAATGACTGAACAACATAGTAAAAGTTTATAAATATACCCAAGGTGAGTTTATTTGTTTTAGCTGTACTTTGTCCGGTTGAAAGCAGAAAAATACCATCATTTTCTCTTGATGCTATTTCCTGGCTGAAACAAAAAGACTTATTCAACTCTACATTTAGCACACTGGTTGGTTTCAGAGAATGCAACACAGATTGCATAGATTTTTGCACCCATTTATGGTAGGTTGCTTGATTCTAGCTTAATATGTTTTATAGAACTCCATCATTATGGCTTAGAAATCATGTTTTTGACTGAATGTTTGTAAATTCAGCTGTTTATGATTTAGCCAATAAACCACAATTTCTACCTTTGCATTAGTAAAAAAAAGGGAAAAGCACAAAAACATATTACCTACACAAAATTATTTAGCCTAATTATTTTAACAAATACTTAAATCTTGATTACATAAGATGGTCTTTCAGTCAACTATGGTGAATAGACCATTGTTTAAATCATAATTTACAAATATTAACACTGTCACTATCTCAGTTCAGATGTCAACCATGCTTAAAGTATAATTAGCTAAATAATACACTGGACTATAAATGTGGTATAATAAATGCAAAGTTTGGAGGTGCAGAACACGTTTGTCAAAACCTAGCATGGGTTAGAGTGGGGTGTGCTCCAGGTTATTAATTCCAGTTACTTTAGAAATGTGGAAAAGGATAGATCCAGATAATTTAAAATGATTTAGTCTTTTTTTAAAATCACAAACTACAAATATTTTAGCTGTTCTAGTTCTTACTTTCACTTTACTACCATGGTAGGTAAAAGCCACGCTTGAGTAATATTTGCAAACCTTCTCTCCTTTTTCAAGATGAATGTTTATCTCCTTCCCCTTCCCTTCCTTCACGAAGACGTTCTACAATGGCCTGAGGTTCCCTGTGATGTTCTTTTTCAACATTTGCAGGGTGTGGGGTGTATTCTCTGGATCGGATTTTTCTTTTCTGTTCATGGGGTGGAGCCAGATGTTAGTAAATTTGTAACTCCTTGAAATTTTTGGTGTTCACATCCCTCTTGCAGAGTAGAAACTCAGTTGATGTTACCTTGAGTAAACTCATTGAAGATCCTACAATTGATTTTGTTCTAATGTTACTGAGCACTTATTTTTCAGCTCCATAGACCTCAGGTGTATTCAGATGTGAGTGTGAAGGAAGGTCATTAGGAAACAGGGAAAGTATCTAGTATAAACTGGCTTATTAAGGGAAAGAAAGGGAGAAAAGAATCAAAGTTATTCAACAAACTTCCCTAAAAATCCTCTGGACTTGATTGAATTATGAACATCCATTTTATTTTTGATCTGTGTGATTTGTTATCCAATGAAGAAAGAGTAATTGTTTTCTGTCTCCAGCTAAATAAAGACAACAAAGAAAGTGTTCCTTAATGTCAAAGGATTTCCTGGGTCAGTAGTAGCAACAGCCACCACCCCAAGGAAAATGACAAGCAAGAAGTTCAGGTCAGTAGTGGCTTTTTGTGCTTGGTTTTCAAAGGTCAATGATTCTGTTCATATGATGCTTGTCATATTGGGAAAAATAAGTTGTTGAACAGAAGAACAAAATTGAAGAAGAACAAGAGCCAAGGTGGCGCAGCAGTTAGAGTGCAGTACTGCAGGCCACTTTAGCTGACTGTATTCAGCAGGTCAGCGGTTCAAATCTCACTGGCTCAAGGTTGTTGGGGGCAATGTAAATATATATATACATTGCTTACTGGTGTACACTGCTTAGAGAGTGCTTGCACTTAAAGCGGTATATAAGTCTCATAAATAAAATTTAACTGGAGGAGGGCAGAGGGTTCACAATCTATTGTGCATTTCCTAAGAGTAGAAATTAATAATAACTACAATAACTGAAATTGCTTTGTCCAACATTCTCCCAATCACCCTATTATTTAGGTTGCAGGATCTGTTTTTACTATACCACCCTCTAACCAAGGACACCATAGAAGAAGCCTGGGATTTGAAAAAATTCTCATTCTTTTTTTTTCTCCTCAAATGTTGGTAACCATCTCCTTTTTCTTTCCAGCCTTCCAGCAAAATTAATTAATGGAGGTATAGCTGGCCTTGTGGGAGTCACTTGTGTGTTCCCCATTGATTTGGCTAAAACCCGTCTCCAGAATCAGCAAGGACAAGCTGTCTACACAGGCATGTGCGTGAGTGATGGTACAGGATATTAAGCTTCAAGCTGAAAGGAATTGATATATATTCTATTGATGCATTCTCCCAGCACTATTGAATATGGCTCAAAATTCTGTTGTCTTTCTTTTACCCATAATGTTTTTTAATATATTATCTTATAAAGCAGCAACTCTCAGAATTTCTAACATGTATGTTTTGCAGACCAAGCAATTCTGAAAAGCACAAGTCAGGAAAGATGTTAGAGTTGATGGGGAAAATTATATTTCCCACAGTTGCTAATAAGCGCAATTAACTGAGTGTCAGTGATATAGTGTTACCATCATTCAGAAATAAAATCAATAATGAAAAATAATCCTGCTACATATTTACTAAAAGCTGAAAAATAATTGAGCTTTTCAACTGTCTTGGTGCCCTAAGGAGAAACATCATGGAAGAACAGGGAGCAAGGCCTGTGCAAGAAATAATTACAAATATGGACCCTCCAACTTTGAAATAGTTTTTATAATTGTTTCTCCCTCTCATATTCTAGGCAGGATTGTTTGGTGAAGACAATACGCTCAGAAGGGTTCTTTGGCATTTATAGAGGTAATTCCTACAGAAACGGAAGGGTCTTTGCTCTGAAATTTTTAATCATTTGTTGTTTGCAATGTCTCAATTTAAAGTAAAACATGATTTGAAAAAATGCATATAAAGGTTGAAAATTAGAAATGAAAGACTACCAGGAAATCCTAGGAGTGTAGGCTGCACTGGAAACTCAGAAAGGCAAGACAACAATGGTATTTTTGTATTGTTGGGAAGAAAACTACATGGAAAACACCAGGAGTTGAGTTAGACTCAGAGGTTTAATGTATTTGAATAGGTGATATTTAGTGTTGCATTTGGTTTATTATTGTTTTGGTGGAATGTTTATTTAAAATTGGAAAATAGAAAGACGGGTGTATATGGATCCAGGAATAATTGAAACTTGTATTATTTAAACATTATTGCTTTTGTGGATCTGTGTGTGCGAGAGTGATCAGCATTTCCTGTTGGAGTAGGGATGAGCCAGCAAACTCATCATCAAGGCTCCTTATTGCCTCTTCTGTTCTCTCCAAGGGGCTGCTGTAAACCTCACTCTTGTCACTCCGGAAAAGGCAATCAAGTTGGCAGCCAATGATTTCTTCCGACAGTTGCTCTCCGTGGATGGGTATGGGGAAAAGAGCGTTTGTTCTCTGCTTATAATCTTGCTCCAGTCTCATCATCATTTCCATCTGCACTTTTGAACTGGCCCTGTACTTTTGTGCTACTCTCAACAGAAAAGAATTATCCTTGGCCAGGGAAATGCTGGCTGGCTGTGGAGCTGGGACATGCCAAGTAGTGGTCACATCCCCGATGGAAATGTTGAAAATTCAGCTACAGGATGCCGGGCGGCTAGGTGAGCACCTCATTACTATAAAGGTTAAAAAAAACCCAATTTGGCTTCATTTTTGTAGCAAAACAGCTTGTTGCATAGATAAAGGTTCATATTTGCTAGGATAGTTCTTATATTCTTATCTGCCAGCCACAAAATACCAATAAAAAGTGAGCCAACCAGGTCACTTTCCCACCTGGGCAATAAATAAGAGAATGGAAAAAAAATAGCAGCCAATCGACACCTTGGACCCATTTCATGTTTCTAATACACAGTATGTTGCTTGCACTTGCTCTTTGAATTCCAAAGAGAGAAAAAATGGCTGCTGTGGAGGGAGATGTAAAGCATGCGCTTATCCTTCTGTTATGCTTAAAACTAGGAAAATTAAAACATCTCATTATAATGCCGCTGTAGCCAAACCTCTGTGGGCAGTGGGGTAAAGTCTGACCTAAACCCAAAGCTAGGAGGTAGAGTGAAGCATTTTCCTACCAGTGGTAAAATGACTCATCCACCAAGCTCTACAGAGCTTCATCATTACAAATGCAAACACTGCCTTCTGCCATTTTTAATGCACAGAAGCCTCCTCAGAACAATACTTTTGCAGAGTTACTTCTCGAAAGATCAAAAGGTTATACACTATAACCAAATGCCAATGATGAGGGCCTATCTTAGTGTGGAAGATGGGACTTGCAGTCAAACACATCTAGAGGGCAGCAGTTTGGGAAAGGCTGTTTCCCAGTGCTCATTTCCTTCTATTGGATTACTGAAGTTAAATCCCAAGGAAGGTACAGCTGTTTTAGTACATGCACGTGTAAGTGATACATGTGATAAAAACAGAGACTCTGCATCAACCTTTCCCATCTTGGCTAGGGATTCTGGGAACTGAAGTCCAACATAGCTGGAAGGCACCCTATTTTATATGGAGCACAGCTTCCCATTTCACATCTGCAGGTGAAGTCTAATTTAGAGTTCCCCAACCTTTCCAGCTTTGCAGACCGGCAGCGGGGGGGGGGACAGGGGATGGTTCTGCATGAGCTGTGGGCAAGTGTGTGCGCATGCGTCGCCCACTGTTCATACAAATAGGGATACACGTGCTTGCTTGCCCCATTTCAGGTGGCCCAGTTCTGAACAGCTCACGGACCAGTAGTGAGCTGCGGCCCGAGGGTTGGGGACCCCTGTTCTAACGGATCCTAAATGACATATTGTTGGGCATGATGTTTGCTTTAGCTACTGTTAGAAAAACATCTGTCTTTAAATTTTCAACAAATTAATATAGTTTGAGACAAATAGACCAGTGGATTGAGCAATGAATAATGAAGCTTAGTAGGAATATGCAACTGCCTGAAGAAATGGTAGCAGCTGATTGAACTTACTTGGCTTTGGGAGCTAAGTAGAGTCAAGTGCTTGGTATACGAACAAAACACTAAGAAATTATTTAACTGTAGATTAGACTGGGAGATTTTTTAAAAAATTGAGAAACCACTTTTATGTTATTGCTGGGAAAATGCATGGATCTCAGCAAGAATTGTGTTTAACTCAACCAAGATTTTATATTACGAGTTCCTTATTTTTACCTATGAAGTGTTGAAGATCTGCTTGTATAAGACCCACAACTTCTAAAAATCTAGCCCTCAGGGCTCAAGATTGTGTCTGTCTGTCTGTCTGTCTCTATCTATCTATCCACCCACCCACCTACCTACCTACCTACCTACCTATCTATCTCTCTCTATACACACACACACACACAGAAAAGAGTCTTTCTGTCTTTCAGCTGCTCATCAGCAGAAGGCTCTAGGACTGGAGGGTACAGCTGCTGCCTCTTCTCATCCGCTACAAGGACAGCCTTACACCACTGGAACTGAAGCGGTCCCTAAACGACCTTCTGCCACTAGGATTGCAAGTGAACTGCTGCGCTCCCAGGGTATAGCAGGCCTGTATAAAGGGCTTGGGGCCACCCTACTCAGGTGAAAAGTGGAATCTCCTTTTCTATAAGTTCTATAGTAGCAACATCTAATGGTCTAGAATCTAAAAAGTACTGGATTCAGCATTTTTTACTGTATATATGATCTTTTAACACTTTTAAAAACATTTCCACTGACTTCAGAGTTGGAGTCAGTGTCCCTACAACTGGCTATTAGAGAACTGGTTTGGATAATGGGAATTAAATTTATACATGAAACTGAATCATCTACTCTGGTACTGTAGAATTTTACATGGGCTTTGGACCTTTTCTTCACAATTGAATATTTGGGTAGTTTATTATGCTTCCTTTTTTCTGCAAAGACGTCCAAATGCCTTAATTAAAATTGTCAGTAGTCTCTCAATCCTCCATAGCCCATTACTCCAGGACTTTATGGTGATCTTTATGAATTTCAAAAGTATTGGTAAAATCAAATGGCATCAAGTCTGATTTTCAAGCTTGTCTATCAAACGTACATGAGAAGATTGCTATATGAGTGGCTTGGAAATTACATTTCATAAATATAAAGTTAGTCATAATTTCTTGAGTTACTAATGAAGTAAAATTAGCAACTTGCTTCAGTGAGAAATATGGAAATCTCTCCAAGGCTTACCTAAAATATTCTATTTCTACTCTCAACAGGGATGTCCCTTTTTCCATCATTTATTTTCCACTCTTTGCCAATCTTAACAAGTTGGGACAAAAGACCTCTGAAGAAAGAGCATCTTTTTTTCATTCGTTTCTGTCCGGCTGTATGGCGGGATCTCTGGCTGCAGTTGCAGTAACACCATTAGATGGTGAGTATTAGATGATGCTGCTGTAAAAAAAAAGGCTTATCTTCATCCTATCACAAATTACTAGCAGCTAGTATATCTAACACTAAAACAGTTTGGGGCAGATTCGGGCAGAAAACACCACATACTTGCTAGTGTAGTAAATCTCTAAGACAGTGTTTCCCAAACTTGACAATTTTAAGGCATGAGGACTTCAACTCCCAGAATTCCACAGCCAGCATTGCTGGCTGTGGAATTCTGGGAGTTGAAGTCCACATGCCTTAAAATTGTCAAGTTTGGGAAACACTGCTCTAAGAGATGAGCATTTTTCCAGGTTTATTTAATTGGGCAGCTTCTTGTCAGAAAAAAAAACAAGCGGATAAATAATAAAAAGTCTTGAAGATATTCCTCTGCAATATCTGTAAATCTGTAAAGATGTGTAAATCTTTAAATCACATTTCTTTGCATAGATTTAACAAACTGTTTGTTACAGTTCTAAAAACTCGCATCCAAACTCTGCAGAAAGGACTGGGAGAAGATACCTACAATGGAATCATTGATTGTGCCAGGTAAACAGAATTAAATATTCCTTTTCTGTGAACCATTAGTTAATGTCATTAAACACTCGATCACTGAAAAATATTCCCCACACACCAAGGCTGGAAACCCCAACTAGCCTGGACTGATGGATACATTGGGAATTTAGCAAGTAAACTGTGGATGTTCTGTTGGGGAGGAATTGCTTGCTCAGTCACCAAATGGTTGCAAGTGGGTGTGAGCAATCATTCAATACCATTTGACCAAAAGTTAACTGATAAAGGTATGGTTTTTTTTTTTAAACCGTACAATTCATACAAATGTTCTTGAGTTTGCACTTGACTTTACATTTATTTTGGGGTGAAGATGGGAGGGCATACTTCCAAAGATAGTTCTGTGCTGCACTTAAAACTCCAATGCCATTCCCTAATTGTTTGTTAGGGATATTTCCTCTTCCATGCCTCAAATCCCAACTGTTACCTTTATGGGTTGCCTGCAAAAAAGCAAGGCTGTGATAGAAATTCGTGAAAATTAGTCTCTGTAAAAATGCTGGGGCACTTTTAGAATGCATAGGAGCAAAAACAATGATATCTTTTCAATGTGGTTACTGCACTTTTCAGACTTCTGTGGGAGTCTTTAAAAAGACAGGGCTGATTTAATGAGTTAACTCATTTTAAAAGATGCCTCTTTTTTCAGATTCACAGATACAATTGCTTTAAAGCAGTGGTTCTCAACCTTTCTAATGCTGCGACCCCATAATACAGTTCCCCATGTTGTGGTGACCCCCAACCACTTATACATCACCGGGTGCCAGGGGCGTGGCCAAAGAAAAGGGGAAAAAATGGCGGACAGCCTTGTTTGGCGACCCCCATGAAATGGTCGTTTGACCCCAAATGGGGTCCCGACCCACAGGTTGAGAACCACTGCTTTAAAGAGAAGTGCTGCACATGTGCTGCTGTGGGTTCCAGAATACCTCTTCTAAATAATTTTCGAAATATGAAAAGCACTAATGTTTGATGCACTTCTGTTACTGATAGCAACAGCTGCTACTCAGGATATGTTTACTGAAATTATCTCATTGTGTGCATCATCTACAGGAAGATCTGGATCCATGAGGGTCCTTCCGCTTTTATGAAAGGAGCAGGATGTCGTGCATTGGTGATAGCTCCCCTCTTTGGCATAGCCCAAGGAGTCTATTTCATTGGCATTGGAGAATGGATCATGCACTTTTTCCAATAACACCATCTTGCAATTGAAGGAGACTCTGGATTAAATTTGCACAAATTCCAAACTGTCACTTGAAAACCAACAGAACCTTCTTGTGAGCATTTTTGTGGATCATAAACCACCATCCAGGAAGGTGGCCTAGAAGGAATACCAATCCCAGTGTTCACCATTGCTTCTTTTTCTATTCAGCAGATGACTTTCAGCAAGCTAGACTACAGATGTTCTGCTTCTAAATACACATATTCTGGGTAAATCTTCATTGGATTAATTACATCTGATAGAGAATTCTTTGACTGAAGGCATATTTGAAAACCATAGTATTTGTAAAAACAACTGAACTAATAACCAACACAATATAAGTAGTTTTCAAGTTACGACCATAGTGGGGCCTGCCCTTGCTTAATAACTCCCATAATCTGCTTGCCTTGATGTGGCTATTAAATGAATGTGTGAGTCGTTAAGCTGAGCAAGGGCAATCTCAGTGGGGGAGACCCAGTGCAGGCCCAGGCCCACCTGCCTTAAGCTTCCCAAGTCTCCCCCACCCTGAGGCATCCCATGCTCTGCTTCTTGCTTCTTGGGATCCCTGCAGGCCTTAGCCTGCTTCTCACCCAGCCACTTACCTAAAGGGACCTAAGATGGCTACCGACACACAGGGGCTGGGAGACCTTGTAATCCAAGGCCTTCTTTTCATTCAGCTACCCAAGGAACTTGCAGGACTCGGCCTGCTACTCAGCCAGCTCCAAGGCCCAGCAGCACCCAAGAGACCTGTTTTTTTGCAGAGGCAGCCCGGCTGATATGATGTGAGGATCAGCTTTCCTATAGAAGCTGTCACGAGGCAACCTTGTGCTACAGTATTCTGCAAGCAGGCACTATGGTTACGAGCCTATAGGGGTTCCATTTTTAAAGGGGCTCCACAAACAGCCTCCAAAATTAGACCCTCTGTGAAAAAATGGAGACCGCTACAGGTTTGAGACAATAGTACGTGCTTTCAGAAAAGCACAAGGTTGCCTCTATGGTATTTTTCTTAGGTTTCTCCAAGGATGCATCTAAGCCGGGGACGTCAAACTCGCCACATCACGTGACGTATTGTGACTTTTCCCCCCTTGCCAGAGCTGGGGTGGGTGTGGCTTCCGCGTGATGCATCTGGCCCACGGGCCGGCAGTTTGACACCCCTGATCTAGGCCATCATTGCTACCCCCAGTCAGTTCCTGGCCAATTGTGGATGATATGATATCCCTCTCCCCACCAAAAAGAGGAGCTTTAGGTTAGACTGGAAATTAGAAAAACGTCCTATAAGAAAGCAATGGGAAACCATTTTGATATTGTTGCTGAGAAAAACTATGTGTTTATATTTATGTGGTTACCAGGAACCACATTTGACTTGAACAAGTGTTTATATTTTTATGCCTTTCTTTTTATGATTGCATGCATGGACTTTATACCTTTTATTTGCGCCTGGTCCAAATTGTATAGTTAGAAGTTTTAGTTGCACAGATTGCCATTCCCCAATATTAGACACAAATTCTTCCTGCAGCACTGCCAATTTTTTTAAAGGACATTAAAAATAAACTAATCCAGAACATCAATGCCATTTTTTTTTGTCTACGAATGTTTTAAAACATGCTTATTTCAAGTTTTCAAACTGGAGTTATCCCAGAATTGGGATCAAAGTTAAGCTTACACCTCAAGCAACCTTTAAAACAGAAAGGACAACTGATTGGGGGATAAAACTAGGGTCCAATCAGTCTCTGTGAAGGATTGGATAGGAAAGAAGACTAATATTCACTTTGTAGTTATACATTATAACAGACTTTAAAAAATGATTTAAATTCCATGAAGAGAGATATAGATCAAAATATAAGCCCAGTGATAAGGCTGAATGCCTGAAAAATTAAAAACTGTTTCTTCATAAGAAAAAAATACTTTAAAGGAAACCTGGGGTTCTCTTCATTAAAATTTCTGTCACTATATCTGTCAGTCTATTTTAAAAATGTAAGATCCCCCTCAAAAATATGTTTCAGATTTGGAGTAACATTCATTTTATCAGACTCACAAAATTAAATTAAGGAATTTTAATATGTAACACCTCAATTTTTACAAAATTCAATATTTTCTATAGACAAAAATTAAATCCACTTCAGTTAATTGAATAACTTGGAAATTATTATCCTATATCCACAAGGTTTGGGAGATAATTTTTGATATTTATTATTAAAGTATAAAATATCAGAATGTATCAGTAAGTTCAATACTATCAAACTTTCCTTCAACTTCAAAAGATTTCAAAAAGGCATACCAAATTTTTCCTGGTCTTACCACATTCATGATTTCTTATTTTCTGATTTTCATTTAATAACTTTTGGAAACTCTGTACCAATATCTCAAAATAAGTCAGCTTATTTGCAGCTTATTGGTTATCAATGAGTGCATATCTTTAATTGAATTGTCTTACTCCTCAGCTTCAGTGCATGTAGCTTGTAAACCGGTGACAGTTATTATCTGAGCAGCAATCAATCTTAAATCTGTCCAAAAAATTACAGCAAATTTTGAGAAATAACCCCAGTCTATTGATAGATGAACCTGCCGAATTCACTGAGATAATCCTGTTATGGCTCTATTTAAGACTGATAAATTTAAACCCATTCCTAATAGCTTACATTATGACCTGGTTTGCACATTTAACCTGGTCTTGTTTTCTTAGTGATTCTGCCAGAACCCCGACATCCTAATTTGAGTTAAGAGGATTACATTGTATTTAGTCTACATCCATCTCTCACCTGTTTTCTATCTAATATTTCAGCATTTAATTTGAGCTTGTTAGTTTGTAAAATATGGATTCTCCAAATTTCCAGAAAGCATCTAATTAATCAACATTTATCTTCAGAAATACACCTTTTCCTAATATTAATGTGAAATTTTTGACTGAGAGGAACTCCATATTACTTCTCAGGTTCCCCAATTCTCTTTCCATATCTAACAAACCACAGCTGCCATGCATTTGTTTTCATAAACTGCCTGTGGATGTAACCCTCTGCCAACTGCTATAACAATAAAAAAAAGATCAAACACAACATTGCATGCTTTTCATTTTAATAAACTTCAACACAATGAGAGAGTGTATACATATCCTAGAAGCACGAAGCCGAAAACACCAGCCTGAAGATGACAAATGAGACTTCGTCGAAACGTCGCCAAGACACTTCCAATTTGATGCGGGAGAAAACCCGAATAACCAAAGACTTACATATATACTTATATATATACTTTTAATCACATATACAGAACAAAATTCTGGGACTAACCAAGTTAACATGACTTGCTTTTTTCCCGGCCTGGGAAGCACCAGACTGGGGAAGTTGGGGTTTGCAGTCATCGGCACATGAAATGTAAGCTTTGGAAAGGAACAAAATAGATAAGCAGCACAGACTGGTGGGTGTGCTTTGAAGGAAAGGACAATACTGGAGAATCACAACAGAGCTCCAAATTATTTCTCTCATTGGTCTACATCAAAGAGTGCAAATGCCTTCATTTTTGGATGCTGTGCCACTACTCTCTGGAAACAGTTCTTCCTGCCTTTCTCTCAGACTAAGCACAGCAAGTATGCAAAAGTTAATAATTTAACTGAAAAACATATTCAGATAACACAATAGAGCAAGTAGTACATTTTAGGGGAAGGGACCTTGTTTTACTGGAAATGTTCCGGCATTTCCCCTCAGCGCATCACGGAAGAGAATTCCACCAGCATTCCTGGGAATTTAGTCCATGAACTTCCTGTTACTGTTAGCACCAAAAAGTGCTGTCCGGATCTCTGGCATCATCTGTTGAGGGGAAAAAAAAAATTCCAAGTATTCCTTGATGACTCAGCAAATTCCTAGAACACGCTTAACAGTCATTCAGTTAAAAGTATACTAAAAGGCATACAACTTATAAAAAGATGGCAATAGGATCTACTTCTAAATACTGAAGAATGCTTATGGTAGAAATCATAGCTGAACCAAGCCTCAGATCTCACAATCTTTCCAGAAATTGCTATCTCTTATTTATTTATTTATGAGACTTATATACCGCTTTAAGTGCAAGCACTCTCTAAGCGGTGTACACCAGTAAGCAATGTAAATATATATTTACATTGTCCCCAACAATCGGGGTCCTCATTTTACCTACCCCGGAAGGATGGAAGGCTGAGTCAACCTTGAGCCGGTGAAATTTGAACTGCTGACCTGCTGAACACAGTCAGCTAAAGTGGCCTGCAGTACTGCACTCTAACTGCTGCGCCACCTTGGCTCATGGGCAAAGAGCTTATATAAGAGAAAAGGTTGAAATCCAAGACTCGGGAGGGTTTGTAAATCAAGTAGCCCCCCAGATAGCTTTTCTTGATGCTGGCCAGGGCTGTTGTTTGAGGGTAGTAATGGACTTGTAGACCCAGCACTCAAGTTGCCATGGTGTCCCATGACAAAACTGAGGGCTGACCCAAGAACTGAATGAGTGATTGCACAGAGTTAAATGGAAAACATTTCATTCATAGAAGAGAAACATTTCTAGGCTTACCTGCTGAGCAATGAGATCCAGACGACTTTCCAGTGTATTAGATACCTTAATTTTACCGTCACTGTTATAAATTTCAACACCTCCAGCTCTAGAAGAGAAAAATACATGCTAATGAACATGTTGGCACATGAAACCATTCCCACTATTCTTAGTCACTGATTATGATGGTTAGAAGTTTGCTAAATAAATAACTAAATAAATAGGAGTAAGAAGCTCCCCATCTCACAGTAGTGAATCTGGGAGGTACACAGAGAATTAAAACCAAAATAAAAGAGAATGGCATAAAAATAAGCCTTCAAACCACTATAGGATGCCCAGGGTCTAAAATATCATTGTTTCAATCTATAAAGACCAGAAAAGACAAATCTATCTACAGGGCTGGTTTAACTTCCCAGTCTAAATAAAAACCAAGGCCACTGGATATGCCCAATCCATGCTATCAAGTACAGGACAATGCAAATTCCCACTAAACTACATTTGATAAGAGAAAATCCCGTTCATTTACCTTATGCAAGGTAAATTATTTATTTATCACTAAATTAAGTTACTTTTTCTTAGCTGTGTATCTTTCTTACATGTCTTCTGGAAGAAAATTGTTCTGATCAATTTGAACATCAACATCTTTTTTGGTGGAATTTTTATACATCGGAATACTCTTCTGGACTGCATTCTGAAACAGGATTCATACATATATGTAAACAAGTATTTGATTCTATTCCAGTTCCTAGAAGTATACAATTTGTTTAAAGCTATACTACCATCAATTCAACACACACTCCACACATACTCCCAGCTCCAACAGTTAGAAACTGCTAACTTTATTTATTCCTGTCAACAGACAGAAGAACTAGCTTGACTTCTCTTGGTATGGAAATTCCAAAGTTTGATAGCAACTATTCATTGGTCTTTCAGGACTGGGATATAAGAATAATAAACACTTATTGGTCAGCAAAAGAACATCTATTTTGTATCTTTCCTTGTAGGTTTAGAATCACTTGTCAATATTTCTAGTAAAACAACACAGGCATCTAATGATGAAGAAACATTTCTGAATGCCATTGCCAGGGAGAGACAAAACTGATCTAATAGTGTAAGATTATATAATTCAGTTCTTCCCATGCTGTTCGCATTGCAGATAAAGCACATACATTCTTGATGAGGTCCCAGTGGGAGCTAGAAGCACGCACTACATCTACAGAGACCAAGAGAACCACAACTGTGGACCTCTTAGAATGTTTTTATTAGCAGAATAAGTAACAATTGGTGGATGGATGTAAGTATAAGTACAAAGAGACTAAGAACAATACAATATAAACTGAGAGCTAAGCCCATTCCTTACTAGCACTGATGATATTACCTAGTTGGGTAATGAAACATCTGCAAGAAAATAATCAAGCTCAGTGAGCACCAAGGACCTCACATGGGGACAATATAATCTGTGTTGCTGCTTTGATCAAGCCTGGGCATCACTCCAGGACCGCCCCCATTTAGTTCTTTTAACAAAAAAAATTAAACAATAAGATATGGGATTCTGTAACTTTTGTAATATAGCTATAAGGATTTTTTGGGGTCAAATGTTATTTTATTTCTGTTTTGTCTAATATACATAAAATCCTTACCTTTACTAAGGGAAGATCCTGTTTCCTGCAACGGACCGACATTCTAGCCTCAAGTAATTGATACAATCCCTTTATAAAAGAGAACATAAAAGCTCAATGTAGCTTCAAATATAAACTACTAAAAAAGTATTGCAGTAAAGGCAGATATAACTAACATCCAGTCAGAGAACTCCACAGGAACAGTGTAAGTTTCATCTAGCGATACTGGCATATGTCTAGGATCCCATTACCTGTAGGACTAAGCCATCCAGCAGGGTTTGGTACCTGCCTGTATCCTTCACTACTTTAGCCAATCTCTGCTTGGCTTCGCTCAGCAAGTCCTATATTACAGAGGGAAGAAAAATCAAGTCAGAAAAATCTTATTCTCCCGCCGGCCTGAAGTGAGAAATTTCATTGCAACTGATACTTATGAATGCAACTTCTCTCAGGGACCAGGATACCAGTGGAATTTAGGATGGAAGAAGCATGAACCTCATCACTATAGGTCACATGACCATATGTTTGGGCAGGTCAGCTTTACAACCGGTCACAGCATAATCTGGTCACATGACTATGGTTCTGTGGTGCAGTCCTCACCTAATGACCACAAATGGGACTACTGGAACTGCTGTTACTAACTAGTGTGATCACATGACATTTTGCCTAGTAATTGCTTTGCCGAGCAACAGTAATTCTGGTTCCAGTTAGGATTATTAAGTGAAGACTATTTGGATATTTGTGATGTGTCTTGAATTGCACTATATGTTATCCAGCAGACTGACTTAACTTCTCCTTTATGCCTCTATTTCACAAACACAATTCAATGGATGCCATAATTTCAATGCCAGATGTTGCCTTTTTGCATACTGCTACTTTTCTAAGTAGCAGTCTGTAACGCAAGAAAGCTCAAAAAGAGAAACCCTAAATACTGCCTGCATGTGACTATTACTATGTGACTATGCCTCTAGTAGAGCATAGTCTGGGATTATTTGGGTGGTCTTAACCTTTTTCCTTCAACTTGCACCTCTTAATATGTCTCCACACAATTAATTGGGTTGTACTCAAGAGCACTGGTATTACCACTACAATGCTATGTCTTCACTTGAGTGACTAGAGGCATTAAGCAATGTTTACTGTAGGCAAAGAATTGTTTTAAGGGTAAAGCAATAAGGCATATAAAGTCCTAACCTGAAGTAGTACAATTTAGGTTACAAGCTTATAATCTGAGAACTAGAACCTACCCTATACAAATATTATCTGAGTTCATATTCCCAAACCTTAATTTTCCCTTTATGCAACATCTAATACTTATTCAGTGGAAATGTTCATCACTATCTGACTAATGGGATGAAAAAGACTCCATTAAGTATTTTGCTCTTCTTCAACAAAGGAAACAATGCAGAGATAAGGTCATTATTCTATATTTCTAGCACATCTGCCCCTCACGATAAAACATATATTACAAATATTTTCTTGAAAGATATATTACAAGAACAAAGGAAGGTAAACACTACAGTGTATTTTTCAGACAAATAATGAAAAAAAGATCTTATAAAGAGATGGCCAGACTTACTGCAATCAGATCATCTCTTGCTTTGAGAACCTTCAGTCTCGCCTGATTCATCAGGTTGGACATCTGACTGTAAGACAGATGGGAAAAAATGAAACAGAGTACAAGAAGGCTCAGATAGTGAAGCAGCAGACACTAATCATACATTCTCACAAGCACGTGACAGACTAACTCCCAAAATGCTCAAGCAGCAAAGCCTGGGTTTAGTAGGCCTCTTGGGAGTACTATATGGTTACCAGAAGTAGCCTTTCTTGAACCTTGCTGCCAGCCTTCCTTCTTTATTCTATTTTAAAAGGTCTCAATTCCTACTCAATCCCCCATTCAATCGTTCTACATTCTGGTTTAATCAACAGCA